TTAAAAGAAAACACCTAACCCAATGAACTAACATAGTATCTCCTCCCTAAATGTAAGACTCTTTATTCGCGTAAAGGCTGCAAAGTCTGGGGTCAACTGATCAAAAGATCACAACTGAAAGATCTGGTGGTCGTGACTTTGCTGTCACAGAGTGACGTCACAGCCAGGAAAAGAAGGCGCTATATCTCGGGAAAGCCAGAAAGAAGCTGGGAAGTTACTTTCACCGGCACAAACGTAGCACTAACGAATGAGACCGGTTTGGTTTCCCTACGACATTGAAGGGGGGGCTGAGTGACGTCACGACCCCGATAAAACAAGGCGCTATATTGATTATTGGTCTCTCCGGCGTTAAAGAAATTCTGGGCGATGCGTCGGAAAAACACGAAACATTCCGGAGATTAGCGAAGGGAGGGAGCCGTGCTGGGCTGCTGCTGACATGGTGGCAGAGAGGCACTCTGAAACACAAATCGTTGTGATGCACCGTGCAGGATTTCGATTTAGCCCAGCATAACTACACAGTCACCATGAAGAGCGTATTTGTAACCGTAGGCACTACGAGCTTTGACGAATTAATAGCGTGCGTCTCATCCGAAGACGCCGTGCAGGTACATCCATTTTGAATGTTTCGACGCCAGTAGTTAGCTTGGATAGCCGCCGTACGGGGCTTGTGTGGATTTCCGAAACAGTTTTCTTTTATTATTTCTTTTCGTTTTTAAATGTAATGCTGTTTTAAAATGACGCTGTGAGGAGTTCGACTTCGCTCTGCGTCATTTTGTTCTGCTTTTGCTTTGTGAAGGGCTGGCGACCCAGAGCTGCAGAATGCGCTCAGTATAGAGGTGATGGCGGGTTAACTTTAAATACCCCACGTTGGGGGCGTTTATGTCCGTATGGCGCGCTTAGGTAAGCAGGGAGAAACTAAATTCAGCGATAAGCACCATAGTTCGTCTCGTCGAGGGAGTGACGTGTCGTTTTCACGGGTGACTCCAGGAGCTGTAGAGCTGTTCAACCTAAAGATGGCGGCGTCGTCCAGCTCAGAAATCCAAGTCGCCAGAAAAGTGTCCCACCTCGTATTCATGTTCCCCAGAGCGCTTGTTTTTTTAATTAACATCAAACAAAGGAGAGATAGGTATCCAGAAAGATGTAAAACGCAAAACAATACGCTGCCAGCGGTCATTTCAAATCGCAACACAAGATTTTTACATAACCCCGTGTGTTTTTTGCTATGTTAGTTTTCCAAGTTTATAATGGTGGTCAAGTCGTTCGTTTCCATTTTAATAACATAATAACATCTCATCCAAAAATAGTAAAGAGGGGAGTAGCATCAGTCCATTTTATTTTGTGAATATATCATCCCAGTGTTCTAAAAAATAATTACAAATATGTCCCTTTCCATATTCAGTTTACGTATCTTGCAAAGCATAACGTAATATCAAACCCCTTAAATCTTACAGTCACATTTAAATGTTTAATTATATAGATTTGCAAGTCTATCCCAAAACAAATGTGAAAGTTTATTTTCCACTAAAAGTGCTTATTACCACCAGGAGCTAAAGTCTGCGAGTCAAAGTCCTGAGAAATATTGTAAGCTGATCATAAACTCGTAGGCAAAATACAACATGAATTGCCAAGACCACATTAATAATGAAATGACATTCTCTTTAGACCGTGGCAGCAAGGCACCATGGGAAACCCATGTTAGCACTCGGCCTGACCGAGGCAGAGAAACACCTCGGGTGGGTCAGCAGTCCTGTGCAGGGCGCCCACAAGCATGCAGGGACGATTCAGAGTCGCCGGTTCACTTAGCCAGCTTGTCTTTGGAAGGTGGGAGGGATTGGGAGAAAGTCCACACGGACGTGCCGACTCCACACAGAAGGTGCTCCAGGTCGGAGTCGAACCGGGGGAGACGAGGGCTGTGCAGCAGCAGCTCCAGGGCACCACCCACTCAGTCACTCTTAGAGCAAAAAAGCAGCCTTGGCGTGAGTGTTTGAGGAAAGCGATGGATATACAGTATAAAGGGCACGTGTTTGTGCTGAAGCTTGATTAAATGCTGCAGCAGTTCATAATCTGGAGCGTTTCCTTGCTCGTGAAGCCTTTCCTCTCCGGAACAGGATCTGCGCTTCCCGGCGGGGCTGTCCGTGCCCCCTCTGGAGACAGCCCGTGCCGTGAATCGGGGGGTTGGATGGGGGGGGGGCTGACGATCCCGTTAACCGGCACCTTTCTTCCAGGCCCTGCGGGCGCTGGGCTACAGCCGGCTGGTCCTGCAGATCGGCCGCGGTTCCGTCCGGCCCGACTCGGCCGCCTGCCCCGGGATCGAGCTCCGCGTGTTCCGCTACAAGGACTCCATCGCCGAGGAGATCCGGAGCGCCGACCTCGTCGTCAGCCACGCAGGTAACGATAGGAAGCGGGCTGGCTCCGGGATCTTGGAGACGGAATTGTTCCATAGGACCAGGGGCGCGAGAACGTTTGAAGGGCTGAGAACGACAGGAGGCCTTTAGGGCTGTATAGCTCATCAGGCTGCTGGAAGATCACTGGCCCCACTTTCTCGTCCATCGCCATCTTGAAAGAATGTCACCCTGCTACCCATCACTGGCAGCCCACTGGAACTCAGCAGGTGTGAGCCTGGTCAGTACCTGGATAGAAGACTCCTGGAGACACTACTGTAAAAGGGTGCCGTCCTTCGGATGAAATGTAAAACCGAGGTCCTGACTCTCTGTGGTCATGAAAAATCCCAGAGCGTTTCTCGAAAAGAGTAGGGGTGTTACCCTGGCGTCCTGGCCAAATTTCCATGGCCTCCTCATAATCCCCATCTCTGAACTGGCTTAATCACTCTGCTCTCCTCCCCACTGAGAGCTGGTGTGTGGGGAGCGGACTGGCGCATTATGGCTGCCGGCGCATCATCCAGGTGGGGCTGCACACTGGTGGTGGAGGAGGGGAGTCCCCATTACCTGTAAAGCACTTTGAGTGGAGTGTCCAGAAAAGCGCTATATAAGTATATTATCTAACGGTATCTGATTCAACTATTTGGCCTGGTATTTTATTCCAGAACCCTTTAAAAAAGTGCACCCTGTCTTCTCTTTTCACCACCTCTGGGGATTTTCAGTGCCTGCGTGAGGCCCACTGATTGTCTGAGCTTTCCTCCAGGAAGAAAGCCCACAGGAACCCAGCCTGTCTGGAAGCACATGGAACGCTTCCTCCCATGAATCGAGAGAGAGATTTGTGGGCGCTCCGTTTTCGTGACCGGTAGAGACGGGGGTGGATTGGGGTGGGAGCACTGCAGCAGTACAGAGTCTGTGAACCTTTCAGAGAGGAATGGCGGGAATGAGTTTGTTTTTCTTCGAGCGCAGCGCGACGCAAACTTGTCGGCCACTCGGAGGGCCCTTATACCGATGTGGTTGTGCCGCACGTCCAGCCCCAGCGTCAGTGTGCTGTTCTGTGCTGCAGGCGCAGGGAGCTGTCTGGAGACCCTGGGGGCGGGCAAGCCCCTGCTGGTCGTGGTGAACGACGGGCTGATGAGCAACCACCAGCTGGAGCTGGCCAGGCAGCTGCACAGGGAGGGCCACCTGCACTACTGTACCTGCAGGTGACTGGCCACTGGCGTGTCTTAAAGTCCCCCCCTCTGCATTTCCACACCTGCCACCTCTCCTTCTTCTTTCTCTCGACCTCTTGACCTCCCTCCCCAGTCTCCATGTACCCCTCCCTCACGATATCTCCCCCCCCCCCTTTTGTCAACCTCTGTGTGGGGCTTGACGTTTATTTCCGAGTAAAGTGCTTTTCTTGAAGCTTTTCTCTCTTAAGCGGTTCGTGTCCTAATTCAGAGAAACGCGCCACTCCCATTTAGTGTTTCAGACCGCGTACGTGTCTATAGATACACACCGTGCTGAAAGAATAGGTCAGCAGACTTCCTGTACAGCGTGAGGCGCAGATAGCCAAGGTGCAAAGACACACCAGCGGCTAACTCCCACTGCCAGCAGGATGAAAGGTGTGTCAGGCCGGATCGGGGAGAAGAGATTGTGTGTTGATTTTTGTGTTGAATCGTCAGGCTGAATCGACGCTGTGCTTTTTCAAGGAACGTCACGTGATCAGCCCCCTAGAACTGCCCCTGCTCTGCCGATAACTGCCCCTGCTCTGTCGATAACTACCCCTGCTCTGTCGATAACTACCCCTGCTCTGTCGATAACTGCCCTTGCTCTGTCGATAACTGCCCTTGCTCTGCTGATAATTGCCCTAGCTCTGACAATAGCTGCCCTTGCTTTGACGATAACTGCCCTTGCTCTGCTGATAATTGCCCTCGCTCTTCTGATAACTGCCCTTGCACTGTCGATAACTGCCCCTGCTCTGCTGATAATTGCCCCTGCTCTGCTGATAATCCCCTTGCTCTGACGATAACTGCCCTTGCTGTCGATAACTGCCCTTGCTCTGCTGATAACTGCCCTTGCTCTGACAATAACTGCCCTTGCTCTGCTGATAACTGCCCTTGCTCTGCTGATAACTGCCCTTGCTCTGCTGATAACTGCCCTTGCTCTGACGATAACTGCCCTTGCTCTGCTGATAACTGCCCCTGCTCTGTCGATAACTGCCCTTGCTCTGCTGCTCTTATGAGAAGCTGTAGAAGTTCGCCTGCTTCCTTCCTCCTGTCTCTCTGGGCTGTTGCTCTGCTGCAAGGTCTTTGATGTGCCGCAGTGTGTGCATCTGGTCCTGGCGTGTCTCTCTGTGTGTGAGTTGAGATTGTGTCAATGTGTGATTCGTACTCTTTCCTGAGGTGGAGGGGGTGGCTGTTCCCTCTGTGCTGTGTGCAACTGTCACATCACATGTTCCAGTCTTCCTTAATCAAAAGCAAAATAAAGCCAATATAAATAACTTAAGCGTGATAGTGAAAAAACAGTTTAACCGTAAGTTGTCGCATGCTTTTTTTGTGATAGCCCTCTTACAATGTTGCACATGACCTGTTCAGACGTTTAGCACAGGAGCAACAATGAAAACCACATAAAAAAATCCAAACTCTGGTTATCAAAGATGATGAAACTCTTGTCCGGCATCAGACTGCTCTGCAAGAATTTATGCAAAAGCTGCGGCCTCTTCAGTGGCACAGCGAGAAATGTACTGTGCCCTCTTCCTCGCTGGCACTGTAGCTCTGTCACTCAGTTATAAGGTGCTCGCGATATACAGTTATTAAATGTGCAGGATTGTAAGGGAAATGAGAGACTTGACTCTTGCAGTACGTCAGTAGACGGGTGTGGTGTAATAAACGCAGATGTGTGGCATTGCTCCTTGGGAGAGGCGAGAGGCGAGGGCCGTGAGGTTTAACCCTGGCGTCTCCCTGCCTTCCTCCCCCAGCACGCTCGTCGAGACTTTAAGGACGATGGACCTGTCAGCTCTGATGCCCCTCCTGCCCGGCCAGCCTGGCAAATTCGCCTCCTTCCTGGACAGAGCTGTGGGCCTTCGGTGAGTTTCCGGTCCGGACTCCTACAGCTCCTCCTCATGTGCTTGCAGCAGCTGAAGACACACACGCAGACATCTGTGAAGAGTTGACCACCGGCTGCCCTGACCGCCCGGCTGGACACTGGAAAGAGGAGAAGCTAGCCTGCCTGAGCAGCCCCCGCTGAAATCCCACACGCGGTGTTCCTGCATTGTGTTCTTTTCCCATTGCGGCTTTCCCAGCATGTGGAACGCTCCTCCGAATGGATCGAGAGAGAGATTTTTGGACGCTCCGGTAGAGATGGGGGAGGAATGGGGTTGCGATGAGTCTTTAAAACCGTGCTGAAAGCCTTTCTCAAAGGAATCGCGGGAATGAGTTTTTCTTTGACTTCATTGTGCATTGTGGACGAATCCGTAGCCACTCGGAAGGTCCTGAAAATGGTTAAAAAGAGCAGGAAAGAAAGCGTTAGTGCCTCGGGAGAAACAGCAGTCTTCAGCAGTCGAGTGCAAAAAAAATGAAATGGTTTTCATTTCTCTTGTGAGCTGGAATGTGACCAAATAAACCGTTAGCAGGAATGAGTTTCTAACAGTTGAGGGGTGGCTAATTCTGCTGATTTGCAGTATTTTGTGTAGTGCTCCAGTCATACTGAATAAATGCTATGTAAATATTTGTGTCACTGTGTTCAGTTTGTTGACTGGATTCTTTTACCCTGATCTTTGTGTGGAATTTCTTTTCCAACTGATTAAGCTTTGATCAGCGATGTCTGCAAAGCACAGAAAAATACCTGATAAAACTCGGATCGCTGTATCTCCAGATTCCTGAAACCCGGACTCCAAGTTCAGTGTTTATAAACTGCTTGTTTTGTAAGGTGCTGTATCAGTGGAATGTGTTCTGGTTATGTCGCACAAAGTCGGCGCCTAAAGCCTTTTCCACCAGTTCGCTTGTTTCCTCTCATGCACCCTGAAAGCCCTGCCATTTTCTTGGCCCACACTTCCTGCCATTGATCTAAAGAGTTTTTTTTATTATCTTTATCTACCCTCTTGCTCGGTCGGAGAGCTCAGGCTTCCCTCTGACCTGGTTGACCAGTCACTCGGACCTGAGCACCCACCCCCCTCCAGTAAAGAAGTCTGAGGCCGGCAAGGATTTTGAGGTGCAGCATGTGACCTTCGGAACTTTCCACAACCCAGCTTAAGCCGCTTTGCCCCCTGGGTCATGTAGTTCTTATGAGCTCTTCTGTGCCACCAAGAACTACAATTCTGCAAGTCTGGGCTATTCAGAGAAAGCAGTGTCTCAACACGAGCTGGCCGGGACGCTGGCCTTTACCAGTTCCTGTCCCAGGACGCAGTACGTGTTGTGTATAACTTCACGGAAAGTACTAAGGCCTTCCCCTGCTGCTGAAATGTAAACACAGTTTCGAGTCTCAGTGTTTAGTCTGTGTAAAAGAACAGCTCTTTGGTCAGCATCCCCGAAGCCCTCAGCTAAAACCTTCTCATGAGACAGTCAGACCTCAATCATCCTGTGAATCTCACGTTACTTTGTCCTCCAACATACTTGTGACACTTTAAAGTATTTATAAGCTTCCAGATGGACCCTTCCCACGGACTAGATTTTATCTGGTCCTCTAGTTCCAAGTCTAGTTCTTCATCATTTTTTGTCTGTCCCTTTTTTCAAAAGCTTCTCTCTCTTTTTTCAGATTTGTATTTAAAACTTAGTAGGTATGTAAAAATAGGTTATTTCCGGAGCCGACGATACCATTGCTAGTCAGGTGCCCCAGCCTGAACAGGAAACTGCAGAGCTGTCTGAACACAGCGCCACGAGGCTGAGCGAGAGAGGAGAGAGTCACAGTGCCAGCCCTCGCCGATTCAGACCGAGCTCTGTCCAGGAGCGCTGGGTCACAGTGGGATTCTCTCAGGATGATCACGGCAATCGCTCTCCTCCTTTCCCTCACATTTTTTCACCGATTCCAGGACATCAGCGCAGTGGGTGAGTACGCTCTTACCTTCCAACCTGTCCACAGAAAAACAATTTCACCTGCGCCACTCGACCTCTCAAAACCCAGCAAAACCGATTTGTTCAATTTCTGTTTTCGAGTTTATTGTCTGACCTCTTGTCTTTTTTCTTTTTTTTTACGTGTGATGGATGTGAACGTAGCTGGTTCAGTAACAAGAACGGGTTTCAAGTTCCTGTTTTAAATTACTTTAGATTTTCTTTATGGAAATACTGGTACCTCTTACATCATGAGCATTCTGACAGGAAATCACTCAAACCTCTTGCTGTTTGAGAAAAAAAAACAGTAGTGGTGCAGTTTATGAGAGTTGTTAGTTGCTTGTTTGTTTTTTTTAAAGCTTCATGCTCCTTGTCATCTAATTTATTTGCTTGTGTCACATATGTGAACATAGGTATGTTTTTCTGTTTAAGGAAGACTGATTGTTAATTGACTTGGCTTGACAACCCAGGACCACAATCTAAAGACTTTAAAAGCTTCAAAGAATAATATAAAGAAAGCCATTTTCCAAACCAGAGCACTTTATGGAAAATCACATTGTTAATATTCAATAAGGATTTGATTTCCAAAAGTGCACAAAAGACATTTTTCTGAGTAAATTCCCAGACGTGCACCCTTTCAAAGGGGAGAATTTGCGCCTTATTCATGCAGAACAAAAAGCCGAGTTTCACTGGAACACAGTTCCTCTCACAGAGTTTTGAATTCCTCATGGTGAGTGAAAGGGCACCGAGTCTCACATCCCTTTGTGCATCTCTCCCTGTTTGTTCCGTGGCTCTCGAATCCTCACAGCAACCTGCTCTTGCAGGTCTGTTTTATTCCGAACTCTCCCGAGTGACGCGCAATCTTTCGCTCGACACTGTATCAAATGTTCTACATAAACACATTTTCTAGGGAAAATGTAACATCTGGGGTGAACTGTTCCATGTCCCTGCAGAACTTCCTCCCCTGTGGGGAGGTGTAGTTTTAAAGATGTGTCTTTTGTTGTCTTTTATTTTTAAGCGTTTCTTAGGCCAGGGCTTCAGTCTGTCTGAACTTTTGTGGACTCACAAATGAGCCAAATAAAGGGGGTTTCCGCACCAGGCTAGTTGTGATGTCATTTTTTTCAAATCACATCTGCAACAAGTGCAACCAAAACCAAAAGCTGCTATCACTGACGGTAGTTTTATCAGGATTTTTCTATGAAATTCACAGGAAAGCAAAACTCAGTGTCTAACAAGGGTCTCCTTTTCTCTGCAGCAGTACCGTACAGAGACAGGATGTGTCACAGGCATTTTAGAAATGAAACAGCTCTTTTCTGAAATCTGCTAATCCTGGGTAGAAGAGCATTAATTGCTTTGTCTTTAAACTTTCTCTTAAAGAGGTTTGAAAATGTGTCCCATTTGGCGAATTCATCCCCCAACAATTCTCATCAGGTCTGTGCGGACTCCAGCTAGCTCTGAGCCAGAAACCTCAGAACAAAACAGCCTGGTTAAGAAACCTTAAAGCAGGGAGCAGAGCCAGGAAAGTCTGAAACCAGTTCGAAATGACTTTTTTTTTATTCCAGCCTGAAGGCGTTGACCGTTTCAACTGAGTTTATCGTCAGTATTATCTGATGAGTACGGTTTCCTTTGCAAAGAAACTCCCACTCGCCTTGCGCACATCTCTGCTCTGTAATACAAGGACACAAGAGAAGTTACGAATGAGAGAGGCCATTTGGTCCCTCTGGTTTACTGTGGTCATGTAGACAATTGATCAAAGCACCTCATCCAGCCATTTCATGACAAAACTCAGGGTATCGACTTTAACAGCTTCTTCCAGAGTCTGGAAGATACGAATTGTTATGGAAACAATTAACAGGACTAAACAAGAGGATCACCTTTATGGAAATAATGTCTTAGGAAATAGTCATCATGGATTTAGAAAAGATACTGTAGGTCTTGCCTGACCAACTGGTTAGAGTTTCTTGAACAAGCATCGGTGGTAATGGACACACACAGAGCTCATGATAAAGTTCCCCATAAACATGAAATCTCAAATTACTATACATTCAGGCAAATGTGTGCATTTGGATTGTGAATTTGAGAATTATCTGGAAACAGAGTACAGATAAGGGGTCTGGGGTGATGTCACTAGTGGAGTACCACAGGGATCTATACTAGGACCAGTGCTCTTCCTAGTTTTTATAGTTTCCATGATCTAGATTCTGATGTAATTAGTAAACTAGTTGGGTTTGCAGATCATACCAAATTAGGAGGATTAGCTAGTTCTGTATAATTAGCAAATGAAATTCAGAAAGATTTAGATATGATTCAAGGCTTGGCAAACACTTGGTAAATGACATTCACAAGACAAGTGCAGGGTTTTTCATGCATGTAGTAAAAACCTAAACCATAAATACAAAATGTGAAACACATACCAAGAAGATTCTGCTTATGAAAAAGACTTGAGTGTTTCTGAAACTCTTTTGCTTACGTTTCAGACAATATAGAGAAGCGACAAAAAAAGGCAAACAAAATATTAGGCTACATAGTCAAAAAGGTAGAATTCAAATAAAGGGCTGTTGTGTTCAAATTTTGCAAAGCACTGATTGGGTCCCATTAAGAAAATCATACAAAAAATGATATTGCTGCTGGGGAGTTAGGCCTGGCCGGTCTTAATATAAATTGGACCCTGTGCAGAGTAGGGGGAGAACTAGGAAGATGAGAGATTTCTTCAGGCCATAACAATCCGATCCGTGAGACTGAAGTCATGGTCCAAGGACGAGGTCAGGTTAGAAGCCGTGGTTTCCTTTCAGAAAGGTTTTAGCGAAGGCGAGGTATGAACTCCAGAGAGAGAGACCAATACCGGGCACAGAGTGATGTGAAGTGAGGGTTTAAATGGGAAGGAATTTGATGGTAGAAAGATGGGGATAATTAGTTACCTCGTGCGGTGGCGCTTAGCGTTGATTAGGTGCTTGTGGCGAGTAGCAGCCGTAACAGAGTCAGTACAGAAAAAAAACAACCAGATGCATCCTAGGGCCTAAGGAATTTTCTCCACTCACCGGCTGGAGGACCTGAACCTTTTATGTCTTGATCAGAGAAGACGATGAGGGAACCTGGATACGAATTAGTCCTCAATGGCAAAACATGAACAGTGAGATGTGAACCAAAGGGCACAAGCAGAAACTGTGCGAAAGAGCATTTATAATGGGGAACTGGACACTTCTTTATTCAGATGGCTGTGCTCTTAAACCCTGCTTCTTCCACCAATCCAGTCTCTTAACTGTTTCAACCAAATGAGGGTTGTGGGGGGCGCCTGTTCCAGCAAGCTCTTTGATGTGGGGGAAATTTCCTGCAGCAAAGGCTTTTAAAGACCTACGATTAGGTGCCGATTGAGCCCCCCAGGCCCTGAGACGCCTGTGGCACCGAACGTGCGGATTCTGACCAGAGTCTGTGTGTTTCTGCGCAGAGCTGAGCTGCCTGATCCCCAACGAGGAGCGCATCCAGTGTCAGTGGACCAAACAAGGCCGGCCTGCCCTCAACTACACCTTCCACAGCAAGTGAGTCCTCTCCTTGAAAGCCTCCAAGTGAGAACTGCTGCACGGTGTTTTCCACTTACTGTAATGCAGCCAGACCGCGGTGAGAAGCATGCAGTCACAGGGGAAAGGATGTAGCTGGCACCTTGGTTTCAGAGTTAAGGATCTGTAAGCGGAGGTCTGCTGCCCTCACATTGAAACCGTACAGTGTTGTGTCAGTGCTTCAAGATGGTGATTTTTGCCGGTTCTGAATATTTAGTAGGTGAGAACTAGATTATGTATGAGAGGTCACCCAGCCCAGCTTGGTCATCTGGCATTCAGGCTTATTGTACTTGAGGTGTATCTTCACCTGCACTCAGGTTGTCACGGTGAAAACCCTTTCAACAACGGGGCTGTCTAACTCTGGGCTCGGTCCTCACTGTGCTTGTGAGTGTGGTTGTGTGTCTGTGTGTGTATGATTGTGCGTCTCTGTGTTTGAGTCTGTGCATGTGTCTCTGTGTGTCTGTGCGTGGGTGATTGTGCATCTGTGCGCTTGTGCATGTGTGCATACGCGTCTGTCCATGTATGATTGTGTTTATGTGTGTGTCTCTGTGTGTGATTATTTCTGTGTGTGTTCATATGTGTGATTGTGTGGCTGTGTGTGTGCATGTGTAATTGTGTATTTTGTCAGTGTGATTGTGTCTCTGTGTGCACAAGTATGTGTCTATGTGTGTCTTTGTGTCAGTGCGTGCATGTCTCTGTGCATGCATGCATGCATGTGATTGTGTGCCTGTCAGTGTGTGATTGTGTCTCTGTGTGTGCATGAGTATGTGTCTGTGTGTCTTTGTGTCTGTGCGTGTGTGTCT